AAGACATACACTACTGAAACTGACTCAAGAAAAAATAAACTATATGAATAGAGCTATACCAAGCAAAGAGATTAAATTAGTAATCAGAAAAAAACAACTACCCAGGAAGAAAAACCCAAGCTCAGATGTTTTCACTCATGAATTCTACCAAACATTTAAAGAAATATTAACAATTCTTAATGAACTCTTCCAAAGTCAGAAGAGAAAGAAAAAATTCCCAAGTCATACTCAGTATTATCATGAAAGCAAACCCAGGTAAAAATGATATCACAAGAAAACAGAACTACAGACCAATATCTCATATGAATATAGATACAAAAATTCTCAACAACATTCCAGCAAAATGAATCTGTCAGTATATTGAAAGCATTATACATCATGACCAAGTGGGATTTTATCCCAGGAACCAAGCTTGGTTCAACACTTGAAAATCAATGAATGCAATATACCATAACAATAAAACAGAAAATAAAAAATACATAATTATCTCAATTAATGCAGGAGAAACACCTGACAAAATCCAACATCCTTTCACAATAAAAAATTAAAAATCAACAAACTTGGAATGGAAGGAAACTTCCTCAACCTAATAAAAGGCATCTATGTAAAATCCAATCTAACACCACATTTAATAGTAAAAGACTTGATGAGTCCCCCTAATATTACAAAGAAGGCAAGGATATCTGCTCTCACCATTCTTATTCAACAGAGTACCAGAAGCCCTAGTGTCCCCAATAAAAAAAGAAAAATAAGAGGCATACGATTGAAAAGAAAGAAACAAAACTGTCCCTATGTGCATATGACATGACAGTCTCACAAAGAATCTACAAACATTTTTTTAAAATTCTAGATCAAGACACAAATAATAAACCACTTTTTGTTTACAGTATGTCTCGTTTTGTTGTGCTCCACATTATTGTGCTTAGCAGATATTGCATTTTTTACAAATTGAAGGTTTGTGGCAACCCTGTGTTAAGCAAGTCTATCAGTGCCATTTTTTCTGCAGCATTTGCTCACTTTGTGTCTTTGTATCATATTTCGTACTGAATTGCTGCAATCTCATGATAAAACTTGAATAAATGGGGAGTTGCTTCTTATGGATGAGCAAAGAAAGTGGTTTTTTTCTTATTTTTTATAGATCGTTTTTCTATATATTAGCAATAAACCTGTGGAATCCAAAATTTGAAATCTAACATCATTTACAATTGTGCCAAAAAAGCCCAAAATAACATACTTAGGTATACACTTAAGAAAGCATGTATATAGAGACGAAAGAGGGAATTCCCTGGCAGTCCAGTGGTTAGCACTTCCACTGCAGGGGGCACAGGTTCGATCCCTGGTCAGGGAACTAAGATCTCACATGCCTCACGGCATGGTCAAAAAGAAAAAAACAGAGAGATCGCAAACATCCCCCAAATTTATCTACAGATTGAATGCAATTCCCATCAAAATTCCAGCAGATACACTGTAGATACGTATAGGATTATTCTAAAATATATAAGGAAAGGGGTGGGCCCTAAAAAAGAAAAACATTTTGATAAAGAATAGTGGAAGGAATCACACTACCTGGTACTGAGGGTTTCTATAGTTACAGTGATCCACACAGTGGCACTGGCAGAGGAACAAACCCCATAGATCAATGGAAGAAATTAGAAAACCCAGAAACAGACCCACACAAATATTCTCAACTTACTGTTGACAAAGGTACAAAAACACTTCAAGAAATCATGCTGGAGCAATTGGATATCCTAATGAAAATTATTAAACCTCACACCTTACACAAAAATTAACTGAAACTGCATCATGTTAAGCAAAACTATCACAAAAAAGGAGAAAACCTTTGCCTATGGCTAGGCAAAGAATTCTTAGACTTGACAACAAAAGCATGACTAATTAGCAAATTTGATAAATCAGACTTCATTGAATTGAAAACTCTGGCTCTGTAAAAATACTGAAAACTATAAGACATCAAGAAAAGAAATTGAAGAAGAAAGAAATAAGTGGAAAGATATTCTGTGCTCATGGATTGGAAGAATTAATATGGTTAAAATATTAAATACTAAACAAAGCAATCTACAGCTCCAACGCAATCACTATCAAAATTCCAATGGCATTTTTCACAGAAATAAAACTCTCAGAAATTTGTATGGAACCACAAAAGACCACAAATAGCCAAAGCAATCTTGAGAAAAAAGAACAAAGCTGGAGGCATCATGCTCCCCGATTTCAAGCTATATTACAAAGCTACAGTAATTAACACAATGTGGTATTGGCATACAACCAGACACACAGATCAATGTAACAGACAGAGAGCCCAGAAATAAACCCATACAGAAATGGTCAATTAATTTACAACAAAGGAGCCAAAAATATACAATGGGGAATAGACAGTCTTTTCAGTAAATGGTGTTGGGAAAACTGGCCAGTCACATTCAAAAGAATGTAACCACTGTCTTACACCATGCACAAAAATCAACTCAAAATTGATTAAAGACTTGAATGTAAGACCCGAAACCATAAAACTTCTAGCAGAAAACACAGGCAGTAAGCTCTTTGACTTACTGTCTTAGAGATAATTTTTTTAATCCAACACCAAAAGTAAAAGCAACAAAAGCAAAACTTTTGTTCACAGCCCATGCAAATAGCAAAACTCAAAAAACCTCATCAATGACCAAAAAATAAACATTAAAGCCATGAAATACCATTATTAGACTATTACATGGGCAACAATTCAAGATACAGTATACTAAGGGCATTTTAGGTAATGAGATTCTCGTGTACTGTGGCGGGGATACAAACTGTACACTCTTTGCAGGGCAACTAGCAGAATTATCAAAGTAACACTGTGAAAACCCTGTAGAAGATATTACCTTACAGAATCACCTCAGCAAAATACTAACAATTTAACATCTATAATACAAGAATACTAGTGTGTGTGTTTACACACAGATCGATAAGTGACGGACTCATACACAGAGACGCACAGAGGGACTCAGGGAGGAAGAGACTGAAGGACTTATTTCAAGGTTCCATGCACTGCTGTTTGAGGCAGGGAAAATCTGAAACACACGAAACGATCATCAACTGAGGAATGTGCAAGCAAAATCTGGAATACCATGTGGCATTGGAAAGACTAAAGTGGATCCTTAGAGTGAAACAGAATGACTTAAATGATTTTTTTAAGCACAAAAATAGCAGGTCTCCAAAATCAGTTTATTAAATGATGTGTCATCCTGCTGCCACTGGTATAACAGTGGGGCACCGTAGGATATCAAGAGAGATAAAAATACAAACTCTAGAACGAGAATCCCTAGATTGAAATCTGAGTCCCACAGTCTAACGAAAATTGCAGTACCTACTGTACGGGTTTGTTGTGAGAATTAAATAAGTTGAATATAAATAAAGCACTTCAAAACAAAAGCCTTGCAGGGCTTCCCTGGTGGTGCAGCGGTTGGGAGTCCGCCTGCCCGTACAGGGGATGCAGGTTCATGTCCCGGTCTGGGAGGATCCCACATGCCGTGGAGCGGCTGGGCCCGTAAGCCATGGCCGCTGAGCCTGCGTGTCCAGAGCCTGTGCTCCGCAGCAGGAGGGGCCACAACGGTGAGAGGCCCGCGTACCGCCAAAAAAAAAAAAAAAAAAAAAAAGCCTTGTGAAAATAAGCAATATATGTGTTTTGCTGTTATTATTATAATTACACGTAAAAACACAGCATAAATGCTTGGTAAATATTAGCTATCATTTTCATTACTATAAACCAGCATTCATTTTAGGCACTGTTACACTTGTTAGCTTATGTGAATATACCCTTATGAGAGATTTCAAAGTATATTTGTTATAAACTATATAAACTATACTAAATAACACATATCATATTTTACAAGAAAAACTATGTAACAAAAATGAAGCGTGACTGATTACAAAGTTTAAACAAATTATTTGCCTAACAAAGTTAATATAATTTCTCATGAAAATTATGTCTTTCTTTGGATAGATGGAACATCGTTTTTTAGTGTATAAAAATGATCAGGGAATCATTAATAATTCTGCCATTTGTTCTACATCCCAGCTGTGAAAACAATGCTGCATGAGCTTCCTATTGCTTCCAATGGTATATTAACTTCTTAAGCCACAAACCTCGTGGCTTAAAATAACACAAATGTATTATCTCACAGTTGTGGAGATCAGACGTCCAAAGTGAGTCTTGCAAGGCTGGAATCAAGGTACATTCGCTCTGGAAGTACCAGGCTCCAGAGACCTGCCACCTCCTTGGCTTGTGGCACCTACCCCACCCTCTCCTTTCACTGCCACATCTCCTTTTTCTGCCTTTGGGGCTGTCCTGCCTTCCTCTTTAGGACCCCTGTGACTGCACTGGGCCCACGCTAGTAATTCAGGAGAGTCTACCCTTCTCAAGATCTTAATTACACCTGCAAAACCTGCTACTGTAGGGTAACATATTCAGAAGCTCTGGAGGTGAGACACGGACAGCCTGGAGGACCCTGACTCTGTCTCCATGCGTGGGTCCCAGCCGTGAGACGGAACTTTCACTCAGGCTGTTCTCCTGGCCACTCCATGACCAACTCACCTCTCCAGTCTCAGACCTCAACAGATCAAGCTACCTTTGGACAGGGGTTTTAATACAGTGGCAATTCATGTTCCTGTTCACGGGGATGGCAGTGCACCATCAAGAGGATACTCGGAATTTAAAGGCAGTACGGAGTACAATATCATGCTCATTCTCTGAAAACACGATTTCCATACCACCCTGTTTTTATGCACTGTCTTAAACTGATCTGTACATGTCAATATTCCCCTGAAGAAAAATGATCTTCCCTTACCACGAACCCCTTACAAAGCACTTCACAAAATATAGGCAGGCAGACATTTTTCTTTAATTAAGAGAGACTAAACACAACAAAATCCCTTTAAAACAAACCTGTTAAAGTATGTAAATATTTGTAAACATTAAGAAATGTTAAAATACAACCAAAATCCCTTCTTACCATATACAACATATTTCAGTTGGAGATTTTTAACGACTTCTTCCACAGTAGGTTTATACTCCAGAAAACACGTGTAAACCCCACTCATGCTCTCCTTGAAGTTCTGGAATACAAGGCTTCCTGTGGAGGTCACTTGTGCAGTGCTGTTTCCTAATAGAGGAATAAGATACAGTGATCAGTAGCTTAAATTACATGAGATTGAGATAAAATAACGAAATAGTTTCTTAACAGAGAAAAACCATCCAAATTTACCTACAGAATCACTCAAGGAGTCGGGGACAAAGTCATTGTGTCTGGTGGTTCTTGACAGTGGGTGCCAGGATGAACTTAGTGTCAGAATTTCACTAACCAGAGTTCATCAAGTGAGTGGCTGCCTAAGTGGTAAGAGACTAACAATCACACGTACATGATGTGCTCCTCATCTGCTTGTCGCACTGAGATGGCATGATCAGTACTCATATACATATAATATAGCATATACTTATACATACTATCAAGTAATTATATTTGTATATATGCATATAAATACTTTATTGATGAGTTATGCTCTCATTAAGCATAAAAAATGTATATGAAAGGGATAAAAACAGTGTGTCCAGAACAAAGGCTAACTCAATATAATCACGAACACCTAGGGATTTGCTGTCATTACACAAGGTACTTGGCAAAATTTGGATTACAACCGTGAGGGTTGCAGAAGAAAGAAAACAGGAGACTGGATCACTTGACACCTGAAGTCGCACAATCAGAACTGCAGTGCTGGGAGTCAGAACGTGGACGTAAGTTCCCTTGTCACTTCAGCATCACTTAAGTACCACACTGGGAGACAGCCATGTTGTGTAATGGGAAAGAAGTCTGATTTAGAGGGTTAGGACTTGGCTTTTAGGTGTGCCTTTCTTTCTCATAAACTGTGTAACTGGGGATAATCACTTAATCTTTCTGAAGTCTAGCTCCTTCATTTGCACAACAAAGAATCATAATATATGATAATATATCTCATAGAATCATTTTTGAATAACAAATACAAGGAATGTTAAAGTACTTGAAAAAGCTATAAGTCATTAAGCAATTAAAAATGGTTACTCTCAAAGTTCATAATCACGGGTTTGCACTAGAAAAAATTATTAGATATTAAAACTCACTCAATAATTTAATAAACTATTCATTAGAATTGAAAATATTACCTTAATAAATACTCATCTTTTTCTATTTTAAGAAAATAATTTATTGCCTATAACTGTCAAGTTGAAATTTATTTTGAAGAAATTTATTGCTTCAAAATAAGACAAAAGATGAATGTTCTTAGTGAAGAAATTTTCATTATTCATTTTTTCACTAAAAATGTGTTGAGTTTCTAGCACATGCAAAGCCCTGTTTCGGATACTGAAGGAGAAATGAATAGATGGATATACCCACCCTCAAGGGATTACATAGAGCATTATGCCTTGAGAACTCCCATTTCTATATCTTGGATGAAGCTAAAAAATGTGATATAAATTTAGAATACATTTCTATTGTACTGCCTATATCTTCATGAATATCTTTTGATGAAAGAGTACATATTTATCATAACATGTTGTCTCTCTTTTAGAACAGATTAAGAGGTTTTCAAGTGTTTGCTATACATATATTTCAGCAGACACAAACAGATACATCATAGTAATATGATAAAAGGTGCCCACAAATTGTAAAGAAATTTTAGAATATCATGTCAGCAATGAAGCCATGCATTCCCTGGCAAAAATTTGAAATAAAATTTCCCAAACCAGAAGCATTAATAAGTGTATTAATATATATTTGAATGCCTACTACAATGTTAAATATTATGACAGCCAGAAAATCTAGTATCATACAATTTGTAAGAAAACACTCTCTGGCTACCTTCTTATTTTAAAAAATTTAAAAGTAGCACACTTTGAAAAGATACCCAGATGATTGCATAGCCAAGAGAAGAACCCACTTAACAAATACCACTTAACAAACAGACTTTTACAAAACTAAGTTTAAATGGGAATTTCAGGATGCCAAGGCATATCACTATATACTATATAAGAACTCATACAACAGCAGACAGTCAATAAATAATTAAACTGAAGTCAGGACTTCTTCCTCTAGAATTCAGCTTGATCATCTAAAAATTCAGAGTTGGATTAGATTTCTAGAAGCACATGCCTCAGAGCTCTAAAATTATATGGCAAAATTTAAGCACCATTTCATTACAACTAATTTTTAAAAACAGGTTTATACTTTTGGTTTCTGCTCAGATATGGAGAGTGACTATAAGAGCAACAACATCATACAACAATAAGGAAAAAGACAAACTATCAACTAACAAATTTTCTTGAACCCATCAAACAAATGAGGCAGGTAGGGCAATCAGTAACCCTGAAAACCAGGAATGAACAGGGCCTGCAGGTAGAACCTAGACCTAAGCATTTGCTTCAATGGTCTAAGAACATCTGGCTAAAAGTTTTCAATAAATTGCTAAAAGCCAAGTGCTGTCCAGTGTGAGCATGTGAAGCCTCTGAGGACCACAGATGGGGGCAGGGGGAGTGCAGAGGCAGTTGCACCCTCTTACAGGCTTCTCACCTTCATGAAAATCTTTGGGTGTTCAAAGGAAGATCAGGGGAACCCTGAGCAAGATTCCCACAGGGCACTGGCTAGAGGAGGGGGCCGGTGCAGGGTACTGGCTAGAGGAGGGGGTCGGCAGCCCTGCCAAAACTCCACCCTTGCCCATTTCCCCTACCTCCTGGTGAGGAGCAATGCTTTAACCTACAAGGGAGAAGAAACAAAAATGGTCACTGAGGGCACTGTGGAAACATGTTACCACTAGGGAAGGAAACAGGAAGAAAAAAAACCTCACTCTTGAGGAAGTCAGCAAGAAGTACTAGGCCAACACTAAAGCCGGCAGACAGGCTGAAGCACTTCTAAAGGCCACACCCACAAGATCCAGTGACACCACACCTGCTGAATCAGAACACTAGAGACTGCCCCTCTCTCCCAACTGCCCATCACTAATAAGAGTCTAGCAAAAATGCAGTGAAATCAAGCTAGGAGAGCTACAAGAAAGATTCTCTCTAGAGAAAGCAAAAAAGGAGAAACCAAAGCCAAAGATGAGACAATGGAGAAAAATAAGTTTTCAGTAACACAGCAATAACCAATATCAAAGCCAGACAATTCCTGACTAGTTTAACACAAACTCCCAATATTAAAGGCTTAATAATATTTTAAAAAGTGTTCATCTCAAATATAAAAATAATTATCTCAATATTTACTATCTTATTCAAGATGTTCTTAAAAAATTAAGAAGCATACAGAAGGGTAAGAAATGGCACATTTCCAAAATACCAGGCAATGACACAGATGTCAGAAGTATCAGACAGTTAGTTTAAAATAACTATGAATAATGTATTAAATAATTTAATGGAAAATGTAGAAAGCATGCAAGATCAGATAGGTGATTTCAGCAGAGTCTGAAACCATAAGAAATAATCAAATGGAAATGTTAGAACTAAAACCAAACCAAAAAATAAAAAAAGAACACAGTAACACAGATGAAGTCTTCCTTCAATGAGCTCATAAAGAGGCTTGACACAGCTAAGAAAAGAACCAATGACTTGAAGACAGATCAAAAGAAATTTACCCAAAGAGAAAAAGCAACAACAACAACAAAAGCAAAACAACACCAAGAAGAATGAATCCAAGAGCTATGGAACAATTTCAAACAGTTACATAAGGGTGACAGAAATCTCAGAAGGAGCAGAGAGATAGGATGAAGCAGAAGAAATACTGGATGATATAATGGCCGACAATTTTCAAAACTTAATGACAAACCAAAACTACAGATCCAAGAAGCTTATAGAACACCAAGCAGAATAATACAAATAACCAAGAAAAAAAATGCATTTAGTATTCAAATCACTGAAAGTGAAACGGAAAGAAAAAATCTTGAAATTAATCAGAAAAATATGGCACACTGCCTACAGAGGGATAAGGACTATTTTATAGCAGCCTTCTCACAAGAAACTATGCAAGCAAAAAGAATACAGAATGCCATCTTTGGAATGTTGAAAGAAAAAAATTGCCAATCCAGAATTCTACAACCAGCAAAAGAAATAGATAAGCAAACTTTACCCAAAGCAAACAGAAAGGAAATAATAAAGTCAGAAATCAATGAAACTGAAAACAGAAAAATACCAGAGAAAAATAACTCAAAAGCTGGTCCCTTGAAATGACTGATAAAATTGTTAAATGAAAGAGAAAAGACACATCCAATACCAGGAGTGAATGAGGGCATATCATAGAGATCCTGCATATATCAAAAAGATAACAAGAAAATATCATAAACTATGCACATAAATTTGACAAGTTGAAAAAAATCTAAGTTGGACAAATTCCTTAAAAGACATAAACTACAAAAAGTCATAAAATGGTGAGAAGGGAAAATCCTAGTCCTACCTCATTTAGATTATAATCTGTGAACTCTGAAGCCAGACTTCAAAGGCACTTGACTTCAGGTAAGTACCTTGTTCTCTCAATGCCTCTGTCCACATATAAAAGGGAGAAAATGACTGTACTTACTGCAAAGAGCTATTGTGAAACTTAAATGATTAGTATATGTAAATTGCTTAGAACAGAATCTGCTACATGATAAAAGTATACGTGTTGATTATTTTTATAAAATTCGGAATAAAAACACTAAAGTAAAAATATGCTTGCAGAATATATCCACACATGTATATCTATATTTATATATATTTAAATATGTGCATTTACTACGTGTATGAATACACACATACATAGATATATGTATGTATTTGTGCATGTGTATTCATACACGTAGTAAATGCATAAAGAAAAGCTAAGGAATAATATTGTAAAAGTTCAGGATAATGTTTACCTAAGGGGGGGTTGGGGACAGAAGAATGGGATTTTTCAACATTAGAAGGTTCAACAGTCATGATAATGGTATATCTTGGCTTCTATAGCAAGCTCAAGGATGTCTGTTTTATTACGCTTCATAACTTACATATCTGTTATACGGATTTGTATTTATCAGATGCTTCATAATAAAAATATTAAGGTAGAGTAAGATATAATCTATGATCTCATTTTTTAAAAAACATAGTAAGGATGCAGTTACAGGGTAAAGCTAAACGTGTGTGTGTGTGTGTGTATGTGTGTGTGTGTGTGTGTGTGTGTGTGTGTGTGTGTGCAGTTATACAGGTTTGTGTGAACATTTAAAAAAATGGGAAAGTCCACACACCAAAAAGAGCTAATTCATCAGAATGGTATTAGGGTTGAAGTAAGAGATACAGGGCTTGCTGCAATAAATGCTTTACCTTTGTAAACCAAAAATGTTGGAAGAGAGACAGAAGAGGGTGGCAGTGGGGGTGAGAGGAAGAGAGCCTAGCAAGTCTAAGACTTGGCCTCTACACTGTACTACCATCTAAACAACCTGGATGCTTCTCTCCAAAGGGAGGCGCAAGTACATAACTACATGTTTCTTTGGTTCAACTGTAGCGGAACTATCTTTGGAATATCCATAAAAAGATTAAAAAAGTACAGTGTAGTTTAACCTAGAGTCCAAAAAGCTTCTCTGTTTTACAAGCTTTAATAAAATTAGACACTTTCCACGTCTCTCTGCAATTACAGTGATAGTACTGAGCTTTAAAGCTGGCAGACAGCGAACTATGACGTGACACTGCACTGAAAACACAACTGTAATCATGATGTCAGAATACCAGGATTTTCTGAGAATAGTCTTTATAAATGCAAAGCCATTGCATCTATATGATTTTATCCTTACCTGGAAACAGCTACGTTTTTGAACATCTGTTTTCCATTATGAAAGTGAGTAATATAAAATGTCACTTCTAGTTAAAGGATTCAAAATTCACTTACATAGTATACTTTGCAATACAAGCTGCAAGACCTGGCCTGGCATCTCAGAGAAGAGCATGTTTCACATCTCAATTTTCAAATCAAAGGAGTAACAAATTACAACACAACAAATCAATACTTAAATGCTTCTATTTTTGAACTCACAGAGTTTTAATAACAAATGTAAAATATATTTAATATACATGCTTGTGTTATATTATTTGCTATTAGAAAGCAACAAAAATAAAGATTGATTTTATTTTCAATATTGGATACCTTTACTCCTGGCCCCCTTCGCTGATTTATATTAACTGCCTAGCCTCTCAGGACCTCTGTCCCTGACCTCTGCTGACCCCCTCCTACACTCTAGTACTGCAGCCAGGCAGAGGTCACGCTGCTCTGCGTACCTCCTGCAAAGCTGGGCACAATGGCAGCCACCAGGTAGTCACTCACCTAGAGCCGAGTAATTCACTTTGGAGACACACCACCTAACCTAAAGAGTGAAGTAACTCTTTAAACCTTGAGCTATTTCAGAATCAACATAAATATTATGGCAATGTACAACCTAGATTGTTCAACTATATAAAATATGAATTAAAACATATTAAAAAATAAATATTTCTTATGAATGTTTCTTCAGCAAGTCTTTGTATGAATATACTGCTTTCCTCCATCCAGGTCTACAAAATAAACCTGTAGGCTTTCACCCACAAGCACTGTCTCAAAACACCAATAAGGGAAAAAAAGGAGAAGAAGGAAGGAAGGAACGGAGGGAAGGAGGGAGGAAGGGAGGGAGGGAAGGAAAAGAGAGAGAAAGAAAACATGGTGAATAGAGCAATAAAGAAAAACTTCCACAGAAGGTATGCAAAAGGTACTTCCTTGAACAGATATTTAGGATGAAAATTCATTATCTGAATTTTCAGCAAGGCTGAAAACAAAAACAGCTAAGCTAATTGATATTTTTTAAACTACACTGCAAAAACAAATCAGCTTTTAGCAAATGAGATATCAGAATACAAGTAAGATGGGCATTTCAAAATAACAAAATAAGAAGTTGAATGGAGAAAATGTTGACCAAATCAATCATACCAATAGTAATCTCTATGTGGTAAAATGTACCTTCATGAGAATAAGACCTTGTTTTCTCAAAAATCTGAAAACTGTAAGGCTACTATTCAGATGTATCTCAAGTCCATTGTCTCCTCTGGATGAGTACCCGAGTACTAAACTTCCTCTTTTGTAAGCACAGCATCAGTAACATATTATTACACAGCTACCACCAAACCATGCAGTATATTTAAGAGCATGTTTTTCATACTAAAATACTGAATGTTAAATTTAGTCAGTTTTTCAAAATCGGTATTAATATTTAGGTTAAATTCAAATATAATCCATACTGTCTGGTCAGGATTTTAATCAGAGTGAAATATAAGATAAAAAATATAAAATCGTAACTACTAATAAAGTCTCAAGTTGTCCCTATGTGGGGCTGTATAAAACGAACAAAACCAGAATTTTAAACCTAGAGCTCAAAGTGCTCATTTGTATTTTTAACAAAAGCCAGAATCATATTTGCTTCTTCATACATACTTTGCTAATAAAAGTCTAACTGAGGTAACCAAAATGATTTTATGAATTTTACAATAAAAAAGGAAAATTTTTTGAAATATGTATGCTTAGAGAATTCTCCAGTTTAATCATCCAGTGTGTCTCTATCTCAAATTAAGATCTGGAAAAAACAGTCATGCCATCTACATTGTTAGATTCTAACTCCAAAAAGAAATTGCAAGAAAAAGAAGTGAGCTAATACATGAACGTATATGAGATACAAATATTCTTTTTGCTCTGAGTACATTTCATACATATTTTTAATTATAACAACTGAAACAGAAGCCCACCTGAAATGATTCTTCCTTTCGGCCCATGCCACTGGAATGATGGGTCTATGAGTTCAGAATTCCGCAGTTGTTGGGTTACACATAACATGTGTGGACTCTTTTGATGGAGCATAACATATACTTTCACTGAAAATAAATATTAAAATGTTCCAATAATATTTTATGTTCGTTCACGATCTATAATGGCTTACATTTTTGTAGTGTGGGTTACATGTTTTCAGAAGTTTTCTTTGGATTATTGCTATTGCTTGGTAAGAACTAAATTTCATTGCATTCCATATAACTAACTTTCAAAAACATACACTTAATTTATTTGCGTGTGCGAGTGTATCTTAATCTCAGCATTATGCATTAGTCTTTTTATTCAGAGTTTATATACCAACTTACTCTGTTGTCATAAAATTATTTTAATTACAAAGTATTAAGATAATTCTATATCTATACTTCATCTGTTTTGCAAAGACACCAAACCTGAAAGAAACTGACAAGATAAATTTGTTTAGATTATGGAACAATACATTACTCACAATGATGTAACACAGTGTACTGAATTTTAAAATTGTAATGTGATTAAAAAATTCACAAATATGTGCTTTGATTGATTTTAATTATTAAGCATTTTTCCCACTTTGCTTTAAAATTTAGAGCACTGCTCATTAAACAAGCAAAAATAGTATTCTCTACGAGATACAAAAGGATCACAGTAAAGATTCAATTGTTTTGCATTTACTCACAAGAAAGCTTTTAGAAAAGCTTCTAGAAACTCCTCAGTAATCCCATGGCAACACTTCACTAATCAACCATATACTAAGATTTTTGTGTTCCAGTAAAATAAAAATTGTTTCTATGAGAATCAAAATTCTCCTTAACTTTAAAGAAACTGTCTCTAAACTTTAACCATACAACATCATGTTTACTGAATGTAGCTTTTAGATAGCTACCCTTACTTAGGTTAAGAAACTTCCCCTCAATTCTTGGTAATTTGTTTTCACGGGACACTTGCACTTATATTCATAAATGTAACTGTATATAATTTTCTTACATTATCTTTTTCCAATTTCAGTACAAATTTGTTATTTAGTGTTTAGCACTATTAAGTTAGGCATCTAAGATTATAATAGCCACATAAAATGAATTAGGCAGATTTCCTTCTATAAATTTTCTCTGAAAGAATGTGTAAAGTGTTTTTGTCCTTGGAAACTATATAGCCTGGTACTTATTTTTTGGCAAGGGAGGAAGTAGCAAAACAAATTTCTGATTAACAATCTGGAGAATTTAATTATTAGTTTACTAAGTAATTTAATCAAGTCTGTTTTAGAAACTTATATTTTAGTAGAGTTATTCACTGTAAGTTTATTATATAAAATTATTCAGAATACTAAATTCTGATTTTTAAATCTCACCATATCTTAATTTATTCATAATATTTTTGTACTTTCATTATTCTCTTGTGAAACAATTACCAAAACTCTGTCTACTAATTGCTCCAAAGACAGCTTTTGGTTCCATTCAATCTATTATTCTTCTCTGGTCTCTTTCATTAATTTCTCCTCTTATTTTATTTCCTACTCACCTCAATTTAAACGTTTCTTCTTTTTTCTACTTTTAATGAATGCTTATTGTATTAACATGCCATTCCTCAGCACGACTTACTGCTTGATTACTTCTATAAAGATGCTGTCTCCAAATAAGTTCACTTTCTGGGGAATTGAGGATTAGGACTCAAACATATGATTTTAGCGAGAAGGATGATTCAGTCCATCACACTGAGATTCAGTTGTTTTCTTTAACTGAAATGTTAATTCATTTTAAGGATAAATTTAAGCACATCCAATAAAAAGGGAAGTTAGTTGTATATGACTGTTTTATAATTTAGGTTTAAAAGCTGTAGTTTTAAAACAAAAGCTGTGATAAAAGTTGTGATATCAGTGTAAATGGCAGAGTAAAGAACTCCAAAAATCATCCCCTTCATAAAGGTAATAAGAAAATGGCATATTATTTGAATCAACATTTTAAGAACTCTGGAAATTAATTAATCAAAGACTTACAGCACCCAGGAAAAATGTACTCAGGAAAAACAACTGAATCTCGGTGTCATGGCCTGAATTATGTTTCTCCCTAAAGTCATATGTTTAAGTCCTAATTCCCAGTTCCCCAGAAAGTGAACTTATTTGGAGATAGAGTTTTTATAGAAGTAACCAAGTTAAAATGAGGGCATCAGGGTAGGCCTAAATCCAATATGACTGGTGTCCTTATAAAAAGGGGAAATTTGGACACACAGACAAACACAGAGGAAAACAATGTGAAGAGATATAGGGAGAAGATGGCCATCTCCAAGCCGAGGAAGGAGAACTGGAACAGGTCCTTGCCCTACTGCCCTCAGAAGGACGCACCCAAGCCTCCATGATTGGACTTCTATCCTCCAAAACTGTGAGACAACACATTTCTGTTGTTTAAGCTGCCAGGTCTGTGGTAATTTTTTATCGTACCCCTAGCAAATACACCTGGTAAAAACAGTGAGCCTGTAGCACTTTAAGTTGCTGTATTCCCATTAGAACCAGCAGCCTGGTAGCCACTAGAGGGGCAGATGGGGTTAGGTGGACTTCAGTGCCTCCTTCCCAGAGAATTGTCATTATTTCACCTTTCTGGCAGTGTTCTGGAAGACACCATGCACAAAGCTATCTTTACATGACCTAGCTTGGAGCACACCCACTGTAAAAAGCCTTTTCCCCAAGAGTCTTTGTCAAAAACAACTAGAGCTTGCCACTTAACTTTGTAAATGCCTGAAGCAGTGGGAGTAAACATCAGCTTAACCAAAAGCTTAAGAGGAAAAGCTGGGTAATGACATGTCAATGGGAGCTTTGAAAACTTCAGACACGTTCCTAGGAAAACAGAAGGGCATGTGCATGCACAGAGTAGGCCACGTGGCCAAGACTGGGCATGCTCAGTAAAGAATGAGAGGCCTTAAAGTTCTCACCTCTGGCTGAAATTGAGCCTCTGTACAGCAGAAAGTGAAGGATATGGTGGAGCTGTCAACCGTCTGGCTAAATGTTTAAGGTAAGCCACGACAAGCTCACAAGGATTCTCAGAAAATATTAGGAGACTAACTGATTCAGGTGTTTAATGAAATCTCTGTTGAACCATTAGCCTACCTAAGCTAACTAAGCAAAGACTTCAGTGGCCACACATGACAAGGAATACAGAATTTAAAGAGAATTAGTTCAGAAAAGTCACTAAACAAATGCTACAGGAATACCTCATTCTACTGTACTTTGCTTTACTGTACCTCACAGATTTTGCAATTTTTACCATCAATGGTTTGTAGCAATCCTGAGTTTCAGATGATGGTTAGCATTTTTAGCAATAAAGTATTTTTTAATTGAGGTACATATATTGGTTTTTAACCAAATGCTATTGCACACTTAATAGACTGCAGTACAATGTAAACATAACTTTTATAGGCGCTGGGAAACCAAAAAAATTCATGTGCCTTACTTTATTGTGATACTCACTTTATTGTGATGGCCTGTAACTGAACCTGCAATATCTCTGAGTATGCCTGTACAACAAAAAGCAACTACATAAATACCTAGAAAGGGGGAAGAATCTGATTTCCAGAGTACTACATAATTCCCTACAAAGTCCAGTTTTCAACCAAAAATATGAGTCATGCAAAAACCCAAGAAAGTATAGTCATAGGCAGCAAAAAAAGCAACCAATAGAAACTGTCCCTGAGGAAAGTCAAATTTTGGAGTTACTGGACAAAGACTTCAAATCAGTTATTTTAAATATGATCAAAGAACATCATGCCTAAAGGACTAAAAAAGTATGAAAACGATGTCTCTCCAAATAGAAACTATCAATAAAGGGATAGAAATTATAAAAAAAGATCCAAAGAGAAATTCCAGATTAAAAAGTACAATAACAAATGAAAATTCACAGTTAAGAATCAATAGCAGATCTCAACAGACAGAAGAAAGAATCAGCAAACTTTACGTTACATCAATGGGGGATTTATCCAATCTGAGAAAAAGAAAAATAGAAAGATATGTGAAGATAAATCAACAGTACTCAGAGACCTTTGGGAAACCATCAGGCATGCCAGTATATGCATAAAACTCCCATGGAAGAGTGGAGAGAAAGAGCCAGAAAGAATATTTGAAGAAATAATAGCAAAAACTTCCCAAAGTTGATGAAAAACATAAATCCACACATCAAACAAGCCCAATGAACTCAAACTAGGATACATTCAAAGAGATCCACACCTTAGCCACATCATAATCAACTGTGAAAACCCAGAAACAAAGAATCTTGAAAGCAGCAAGACAGAAGCAACTCATTACATAATATGGTCCTCAATAAAATTAGCTTACTTCTCATCAGAAACCATAATGAAATAGAAAGTTTGAATAGACCTAAAACAAGTAAAGTGATTGAATAATAAAAAAAACTTCCCACAAGGAAAAGCCCAGCACCAGTTGAATTCACTTGTGAATACTACCAAACAAGTAGAATTAACAATACTTCACAAACTTCCAAAAAAACAGAAAAGGAGGGAACACACTCCAACTCATTTTATGAAGCCACTATTGCCCTAAAACCAAAATCAAAGACAACACGAGAAATCTACAGACCACTTTTCCTTATGAATATGTACATGATAATCTTCAAAATACTAGCAACCAAATCCAGCAACATGAAAAAGGATTACACATCATAATCAACTCAGATTCATTCCAGAAATGCAAGGCTAGTTCAAAATACAAAAATCAATCAATGTAATATCTTATCATATCAATAGAATAATGGACAAAACCCACTGATCCTCTCAATATATGCAGAAAAATCATTTGACAAAATCCAATACCCTTTCACAATAAAAGCACTCAACAAACTTGGAACAGAAGGAACTCTCTTAATCTTATAAAGGGCATCTACAAAAATTCACAGCTAACATACTTAATAGCAAAAACTGAAATCTTTCCCAGGCCCCCAAGGTCAGGAACAAAACAAAGATATCTGTTAACATCAATATTGAACTGGAGGTTCTACCTGGAGCAACTAGCAAGGAAAAATAGGCAGATTGTAAAAGAAGAAATAAAACTACCTCCATTTGCAGATGACATGATACTATATACAGGAAATTTTAAGGAATAATTCCCCCTATCCCCCATTTAAAAAATTAGAGCTCACAGCGGGAGAGGCCACAGTGGTGAGAGGCCCGCGTACCACAAAAAAAAAAAAAAAAAAAAAAAAAAAAAAATTAGAGCTATAAATGATTCGGCAAGATGACAGGATACAATACCCATTTGCAAATCTCAGTTGTATTTCTATACAGTAGCAATGAGCAATCCAAACATTAAATTGATAAAAACATTCTATTTACAGTAGCATCAAAAAGAATAAAATATTTAGGGATACATTTAACAAAAGTAGTACAAGAAGACTCATACACTGAAAACTGTAAAGCATCATTGAAGGAAAATAAAGAACACCTAAATAAATGAAAAGACACTCCATGTTTATGAACTGCAAGACTGTAGAGTGTTAAGGTGGTAATACTTCCAAGATTGATCAACAGATTCAATGCAATCCCTATAAAAATCCCAATGGGCTTTTATTCCAAAAATTGCCAAAGCTGATTCTAGAATAAAACAAAATTTCAAAGGACCTAGCATAGCCAAAACAATCTTGAAAAAGAGCAAACTTGAAGTACTCACACTTGATAATTTCAAAACTTATTATAAAGCAACAGCAATCAAGACAGTGTGGTACTAGCGTAAGGAAAGACATATATATCAAAGGAATAGAATTTAGAGTCCATAAAAAAAACTCATTCATCTATGGCAAACTGCTCTTCAACAAGAGCACCAAGACATTCAATAGAGAAGGAAAAGTTTCTTAAACAAATGATGCTGGAACAAGGGGATATCCACATGCAAAAGAATGAATTTTGATCCCTACTGTATACCATATGCAAAAATTAATTCAAAATGGATCAAAGATCTAAATATAAGCACTAAAACTATGAAATTCTTTCAAGAAAATGTAGGAGTAACACTTTGTGGCTGCTGATTAAGCAATCACTTCTGATATATGAATCCTAAAGCACCAGTACAAAAGAAAAAACAGAAATCAGACCATATCAAAGTTTAAAATGTGTGCTTTAAAGAACACTATCAAGAAATGAAAACACAATCCACAGAATAGATGAAAATATTTGCAAATCCAACATCTGATAAGGGTCTAGTATCCAGAACATATTAAAAAAAAAAAAACTCTTCCATCTCAGTAATATAAAAGACAGCCAAATTAAAAATTGGGTAAAGGACTTGAACAGGCATTTCTGTAAAGAAGACATCCAAATGGTCAATAAACATATGAAAAGAGGTTCCACATCACTAGTCATTAGGGAAATGCAAATAAAAAGCACAATGAGAATCCACTTCACATACACTAGGATGGCTAAAATTTTAAAAGATGGACAATAATAAATGTTAATATGGATGTTGGGAAATTTGAATCCTCATAAATTTCTGGTGTCAAAGTACAATAGTTCAGGTTCTTTGAAAAATTGTTTGGCAGTTCCTCAAAATGTTAAACATAGAGTTACCATATATCCCAGCAATTTTACTCCTAGGTATACTGAAAACATATGTTCACACAGAAGCTTGTCCAGAAATGTTCATAACAGCACTTTTCAAAATAGCTAAAAAGTGGAAACTTCCTAAATATCCATCAATTAATGGATACACAATTGTAGTATATCCATTCAATGGAGTATTATTCAGCCATAAAAATGAATGATACATTCTGTAACATAAATGAACCTTGAAAACATCATACAAAGTGAAAGAAGCCACACACAAAACACCACATAGTGTATGATTCCACTTATATGAAATGTCCGGAACGGACAAATTTATGGAGACAGAAAGTAGATTAGTGGTTTCCAGGGGCTGGAGTGTGACTGCTTAATGGGTACGGTGTTTCCTTTTAGAGTGATGAAAATGTTATGGAATTACACAGCGCTGATGGTTTCAGAACCTGGTCAATATACTAAAAACTACTCGAATGTATACTTTACAGGAGGAATTTTAAAGCATGTGAATTTACCGCAATTAAAAATATATATATATATATAAAAAGTTGTAGATGCTATGCCTCATGTTACTACTGCAAAATCTTATTAACCCAAAATCTTTATGATATACAGATCCCATTTAAAAAATGTTTTAGCATAAGAACTGCATATGGGGACTTCCCTGGTGGCGTAGTGGTTGGGAGTCCGCCTGCCAATGCAGGGGACACGGGTTCGATCCCTGGTCCAGGAAGATCCCACATGCCACGGAGCAACTATGTCTGTGCACCACAACTACTGAGCCTGCGCTCTAGAGCCCACAAGCCACAACTACTGAGCCCGCGTGCCACAACTACTGAAGCCCGTGTGCCTAGAGCCCGTGCTCCACAAGGGAAGCCATCATAATGAGAAGCCCATGCACCACAACAAAGAGTAGCCCCTTCTCACCCCAACTAGAGAAAGCCCACGTGCAGCAACGAAGACGTGCAGCAATGGAGCCAAAAATTAATTAATTAATGTTTTTAAAAAGTGCTTTAAAAAAAAAGAACTGCATACATTTAATATTATGTTTAATTATTATACAATAACAAGCAAAAACACTGTAGACAACTTTAATTAGATAGCTTTTAGAAATAATTATTTTTTGCATACTTAAGAAGTTACAGCAAACAGAATTAAACTATATGAATCTAACTCTGTGGAAACAACTTTAATCCATTTCCATAGAGGAAAAGGGCGATAGGAAACTAGGATAACTGGGGAACACTAGCCTTTTGCAAAAGATTGATAAAATTTAAACAACTGCCAATTACTTTCTTACAATTGCTGAAAATCTATTTATTAATACCTGGAAAATTTGGTGATCCCACTATTTTCATTGAATCTTGGGTCAAGTGAATACCTCTTGGTAATTGAGCCAAATATCCCACTATCAAAAACAAAAAGAACAGAATTAATCAACAATCTGGCTCATTACAAATTTCAAGACATTCAAATAGGATACTACCGCAGTGTATTTGATGTTTGTTGAAGGGGAGCCATAAATCAATATCCTCTGATATCTGGTATCTCTGTTCCAGCTCTATTCCCTTCATATGCTCCAATGAAATTAACATACCCACCGCTTTCCCTATTATGTCTCACCTTCAGCTTTTTCTACATCCACTTAGAATACTCTCAATAAGTCCAAATCCCCACCCTTCAAGACCCAAATCACAAGTCCCTCCTCCCTCAAACCTTCTGTTTGTCCTCATTTCTTACCTCTTTAGTACATCATCAGCAACACTCACTCTACATTGTATTACAGTTCTTCATGCACAGACATAATTTTCCTTATTTGACTATAAGCTCAATAGTAGGATCAGTGTTTATGTCAACTTATCGAGAATCGATATCTTTTGACTGCCTTCATCCAATTCCCCTCAATCCCACCTCTGGTAACCACAAATCTGATCTCTTTTGCCATGAGTTTGTTTTTGAAATATAATTGTCCCACAACACTTTGTTAGTTCCTGTTATACAACATAGTGCTTTGATGTTTCTATACATTTTGAAATGATCACCACGGTTAGTCTAGTTATGATAAGTCATCATACAAAGACATTACATTGCTATTGACTATATTCCCCACACTGTACATTTCAAACTTGTGACTCATTTATTTTGCACCTGGAAGTTTGTACCGCTTAATCTCCCTCACCTACTTCTTCTGTCCCCTTTGGCAAACACCTGCTTGTTCTCTATCTATAACTCTGTTTATGTTTTGATATGTTCGTTCATTTGTTTTTTTAGATTCTACATATAAGTGAAATCATGCGGCACTTGTCCTTCTCTTATTTCACTTATCATAGTACCCTCTAGGTCCATCCATGTTGTCACAAATGACAAGATTTCATCGTTTTTTTATGGCTGAGTAGGAGTCCACTGTATGTACCTATTATCTTCATTATCCATTCATCTATTGATGGGCACTTAGGTTGCTCCCATATCTTGGCTACTGTAAATAGTGCTACAATGAACACAGGGATGCAAATATCTTTTCTAATTAGTGTTTTTGTTTTCTTCAGATAAATCCTAGGAGTGATATTGTTGGATCATATGGTAGCTCTATTTTTAATTTTTTGAGGACCCTCCATACTGTTCTCCATGGTGGCTGCATCAATTTACATTCCCACCAACAGTGCAGGAGGCTTCCCTTTTCCCCACAGCCTATGCAGCACTTGTTATTTGTTGCCTTTTTGATAATAGCTATTCTAACAGGTGTGAGAATGGTATCTCATTGTGGTTCAGACTTGCATTTCCCTGATGATTAGTGATGTTGAGCATCTTTTTCACGTGCCTATTGGCCATATGTATGTCTTCCCTTGGAAAAAGGTCTATTCAGATCCTCTGCCCATTTTTTAACTAGACTGTTGTTTTTTGATGTTGAGTTGTTTGTATATTTTGGATATTAACCCTTATAGGATATATTCTTTGCAAATATCTTCTCCCATTCAGTAGGTGGCAGTCAAAACGTACAAATTTCTAGTATTAAGATAAGTACATACTTGGCATGTAATAAACTATATGATAATATAAATTATTATGATAAACATATGATTAATATAATTAACACTGCTGTATGTTACATATGAATTGTTAAGAGTTAATCCTAAGAGCTCTCAACACAGGAAAAAATTTTTTTTCTATTTCTTTAATTTTCTACCCATATAAGATGATGGACATTCCCTCAACTTATTGTGATAATCACTTCATGATGTATGTACATCAAATCCTTATGTTGTACACCTTATAACTATACAGTGCTGTATGTCACTTATACTTCAATAAAACTGGAAGAAAAAGGTATGTTCCTTAAACCTGGAGGACACAGGGATGGGAAGCAGAAGAGGAAGTTAGGGCCAGACTGGGGAGCTCTTTGTAAGCCATCCTTTGACTCTGCAAAAACCAGCAAGCAAAAAAAAGATTTAATCAAGAAAAAAATAATCTGTCAAGCACTATACCTTGCACCTAGCAAATATTAAATAATAATTGTTAAATATGATATATTCTGATGTTGTTCAGTCCTCGTTGAACAAGTGAATGTTGATGGACACATGAGTGTGCACAGACAAGTGGCAGGAGCAGCACAAAAAATGCAATAAAGCTCAGACCCAAATCTTCTTTGTTGTTAACAGAGAGGAGGTACAGAACCAAGAAGAGTATGCTATTCAAAGTCAGATGACCTGGATTTAAATCCCAACTTCCACTAACGAGTCTTAAGAAAGTCAATTAAAACTCCAGGAGCTTCAGTTTTCTCATCTGCAAAAAGAGACTAAATTCCAGATTTAGAGTTTTTGTAGGAACTGAATGGACTATCGTATAAACTATAAAACGCTACATAAATGTTGCTTCACTATTCATACCTTACATATTAAGATACTGCGTTCTTAGTCTACTTCTTATATCCTTAGGCCTGATCTTGTTCTTGGATCAAAAGACAACACACACACACACACACACACACACACACACACACACACACACACACAGAGTCGTACCTAGCATAAGATCATGGGCCATGGTCAAGAAGCATCCTTCTCCTACGGGGTAATTAACAACTATCAGCTAGTCTCTACTTCAACTAGAATGACCTTTGGACTTTGGCATATTTTGTAATGTCTCTTCACTCCATTTCTTTCCATTCTCCTCCTATCCCCTGTCTACCTCCGCAGCCCTTCCTCATTCATATTCTTGGAGGGCTTCTTTTTTCATTGCCCCTTTTCTGCACAAATTGTATTTTAAACAAGCCTCTTTTGAGCTTTGTATGATTCAATTCTGGGAGATACTTTATTTCTAAAAAGTCTAAAACTTGAACGCAAAATAACTTTATTTCTAAAAAGTCTAAAACTTGAACGCAAAATAACGCAGCCAAAACCTTTCTAGTTAAATGATGACCGTTGAATTAAGCACTCCCTTCGGTATCTTAACTCTATTTTTAAAACATGAGAAAGTATTTCGGATCTCTGAATCAAAAGGAGGAAAAAAACGGCGGCAGCAGAATATCAAAACTGTTAAGTTTCCAGTCTTTCCTGTACTTTATAGCTAAAACCAATAGATGGAGCTCCAGGACCACGGGAAATGAGAAAGCGGCGGGATGTCTACTCATTTCAAAATACACTGAAATCCTGAGACCCGTACGTCGTGGAAAGCTGGCAAAGGACCCGGGGGCTGATAAGGGGCTTGTTAACAGCCAATTTAATCTCAAGCCTTGAGCTGTGGGTGTTTGAATGACCTCGCCCGTCTATACGACATCAATGTGCCCAGTTCTCCTATTAAATTCAAGAGCGGGACCAGTGATACAGGCTTTCCCATCAGCGGACGCACGTGACACACAGAAACCTCCGGGAGCCGCGGTCCGGAGCCGCCCTCCGCCGCCTCACCTGACGGGGGCGCCCGCAGCACCAGCGCGGAGAACACCAGGACCACCGCGGCCCGGGAGAGCGGGAAGCCCGCGGCCCGGGACCGCCGCCAGCCCCGCCGCGCTCGGCAGGGGGCCGAGGCCTCCATCCACCCGCCGCCTCCGCCGCCGCCGCTGCCGCCGCCGGCCGACACTCAGCGTGGAAGGTCGTTAGGCAGCTCGCGCCCACCCGCCAGCCAGCGGACCGGAAGGGGGGCCGGAAAAAGGGCCACCACTTCCGGCAGGGCGGGGGCGGGGCTGGACGGGTAGTGGAGGCCCGGGGGGCAGAAGTCGCCCGCTGTCAGGACCCCGCCGTCGCGCAGGCAACCCGGAAAGCATAGGCGACCTGTGGAAAGTTGTGGAGCCGCAGAAGAGTCGCGCGCAGAGGGACGGGCTGGCCGAGTCTGAGTGTTGAGGCCGACTCTGGACCACAGGGCGAGGGTCACGGGAGTGAGGGCTGGTCCAGCCCGAGAGGGCTGCCTCTCTGTCCCGACGTCGGCTGCTGACTACCTACGGATTTATGGGACGCAACTGGGCGATGGATGCAAGGTCCAGCCACTGGGAATGGAAGTGGGCCTTGAGCCCCAGGAAGAGGCTGGGCGGGAAGAACGAGGCAACAGCCTTAGATGGAATGGACCACTCAGCCCGAAAGATGGTCTTTTAATACCTGAGTTCAGAAAGATGCATAAAACCACCTGTCTGCCTACGTGGGTGTTTATAGCCAGAACGTGTTAGAATACTCTGCGTTTCTGCGGTGGGAAGGATTCACTTCACGTGAAGGGAGCTACGATACAAGTAAATCTTACCCAGGTGGTACAAGTACATAGGACAATGAAGTTTAAGCAACAGAAGACAGAATGCCCAATAACCCTGTGTAATCGGAAGAAATGAGTGGTCCAGGTGGTCCGAAAGCCATCACTGGGTGTCCTTCTCTCCAGATGAGGGTTTTCGAACTGACAGCCTGAGCACCCACCTGAGTCCACCTCCCCACTTGTTCGGTGGCGTATCTCGAACATCAGTGCCTTCAGATGTATCTTGTTTGTGCCACAGAGAGCATCATCCCTTGCTGTCTTTCAGCTGGCCTGCTTTACCAACTATGTCTTCACAGCTAGAATCGTGTCTGTTTTGCCACCATGTTAACCTCAATTCCTGGGATAGTTCCTGGTATAAAGTAAGCATTCAAATAACCAGTTTATTTTTAAAAAAGAAAAGAACAGAAAACATCTAGCAGAAAGGAAGGAGAGTTCATTTTGGACCAGGACCAGGATGAAGACATTTCTTAAGGATTATGTAAATATCCAAAGAAGTCCTTGGTTCTTATTAACAAAGGAAATTGAAATTTCTGCTTATTTCTTGAGTTTTCTGGCTATCTTTGTGCATGTGCTAATTGGTAAAATGTATCCAGTACAGTTTATTCTACTGAGTAGATTTACTTCTTTAGGAATCCTTTCTAATCTGTATAAAGTCTTGAATTGAGTACAGCCTGTTCAGGCATGTCTTAGTAAAGAGACCTGCATGATTTAGATCCAGCCAGCATTTTGGTCAAGGTCTTGCACTTCCTTTGAGCACACCTAGTAAACAAATTTTACTGAATAGTGCCCAATAAATCACTATATTTGTCTGGATATATATTCTGCTAAAATTCCTTTTAATTTTTATAAACAAGTCAACCTGCACAACATGATTTTTACCAAATGAACTTTGGACTGTGGACTTATAGAGAATAAAGGGCAGAGAGGACTGTTCAGACCATGCTAAATCGTGAAATCTCTGTTTTCTGTAATTCAGTCCCTCCTGCCTTTGTCTGCTGTGTAAATTCCTAATATTTAACCTGAGAATAAGAAGTAATATTGGAGATCTTAGTTAATGTATGGTGTGATTCTAAAGATGGAAAGCTGATTGCTGAAAATCAAAAAGAAAGTGGGTCTGTTATTCATATTTGCACTTTTTACTCCAGTAGGGATGGTGTTAGCTTTTGTGCCCAAATTCTACTGTCTGGAATTCCTTTGATAGCAGTTTTCGTGCAAGACCAAGTTACCTAGTTGAAATGAGCTTTTAAATGAACAGTATATTGATGATGTCTTTTTTTGCATTGAGCTAATAGCTGCTACTTACTGTAGTTTCCTGAAATGAGATTAAGAACTTCATTGCTCTTACTCTGCCATCATGGTAGCAAAAAGGTAAGTAAGGATAATGTAGGGCACGTAAAAGATGAACCTGTACTTTGACTATAAATTGCAAGTTACTTTCCTTAAAAATTAGATACATTGATTTAACTGTAATGTAATACATGTTCATTTTTTGCACTGCATTTAAATTTACAATTTATATAGGCAGTGTGTTTTGTACTTTTTTATATCTATCAGGTAAATACTTAAAGTATATCAGAGATATGTTTTAAAAAATATATTGCCTCTTCATTAACTGCTTTATTTATACCCTTTACTGAATCTCATTTACCCATAAAGTATCAACTTATGGAAAAATTTAAAAATGAGCACAGTTTTCCTGAGCATTGCTGAGGAAACTGTCATGGAGATTTTACTGACAAGTCTGTTTTTGTTTTTCCTAAGAATTAAATTATGATGTATATAATAAATGGTCCAGTGTGTTAGAGTTCTAGCTGTTGCCAAGCAACATGGGCTCTGTTTCGTTTAGTTTTTTCTGTTCTGATCCCTTACTTCCTTTGATGGAGAAAAAATATTTACCTTAAAATTTTTTTAAAAGAAAAAACTCTATTGACATTGAGAAAGCCAAATCAATAACTATGTTAGGTTAACCAGTCATCAGTGGTTAGAAATATAAGAGTTTTATAGTTAAAGAGAAAGGAGACTTCAGAAGCAATTAATATACAGTCACCCACAATTTTAAAGAGAAAGGCCGCATATATGGATTCACAGCACACACCTGGAAAGATAAGTATCTCTGAAGGATCCTTCCTTTCAAGAACAAAGGCTGTTGAGAATATAGATTACCCACACTATCATGCTCTCTTACGAAAACTGAACATGCCTTTTGTGAAAGGAGTTGAGGACAGACATGACTGTGGCAGAATTGAAAAGAAAGGCAACCCTACTTTTCTTAAATTTCACCCTTATCCCCCTTCAGTCCTGCCAGACTATCATTTACACTATCCTTATCCCACACCATATGGGCCAGATTATCCATTATTTCCACTTCGGGATGATGTACCCTTAGGTGACACCTGTTCAGGGTTTGTGAGTCCTGGTGGTGATGCTGACTTAAAGCCTGGCGTTGGCAGAACCATACCAAGCTTGGTAGATTTCAGTGATGTGAAACCTCAACATCGAGTTCCCAGGCCAGACACAGGATTTCAGACGACATTAAAAAGGAAAAAAATATTACTAGAAGAACTAAAACAAGACAGGAGATGGAATTCCAGGGCAGTACCAGACATTTCCATCAGAGCAAGACTTGGAGGTAAATGAAGTGACATGGGCTTTGTAATTTTTAAACACTCAAATGAGAGAGAAGAGCATGGATCTAAGATTTAGTAGTTGATTTGACATAAAATTGTAAAAGACCAAATAAGGAATTCTTATTTTTAAATTATGGATTGTAAGGAAAAAGTAATAAGAATGATAAGCCTTTTTTAAACCTGTTTGTAAAAAAATAGTTGGTTTTCAAAAAATACATTCATCAGTATGTGGCCAACACAAAGTATATATCAGATAATTTATTCTAAACACACAGATAACCTAATTTTGCCACAAAGGAATTTATATTTAACTTTGATAATTGTGTATCATGCCTCCTTATCTGTCTATGTCCTTTGAAATAATTAATTTGCTGATGATTATCAAAGAGTTAGGTTACAGGAGCTGAAATGCAATGCGAAAGTAGTTGAAAGTAAATTTTGAGGTCTTGTAAGGACAGGAGCTGAAGAGAGGCAACCCCTGCATACTCCACCACATTCCTGGAGGCAGAATTTGATGAACACTCACTGACTGCTGCACCTTTTGGTTTCTCTGTAACTCCCAAAGGGTGTCACAAGCCTGGCCCAGAAGTGGTGAGAAACTTCCAGAAGAAATCCACGGGCAGTGTTCCTGTATGGAATGTGCCTGGTAGGCAGGGAGTGAAAAGAGATTAACATGTTTGAGCATGTGGGAAAGGCAAAGACCAAGTGCTATAGCAAGAGATGCTGAGCTTGCTCTAGCCTTAAGAGGCTGCGCCCTCTTCACCACTTTTCTGCAGTGCCCAGCCACAGACCAGAAGCCTAGGGAGGCTGTGTGGAGGAGCAGTGACATCATTGTTTTTTGGAGCCGTGGAAGCTCATGGTTCCTGCTACTCCTCCATGAAGAGAGGCCATAGGCACTTGGGACTAGGAAGGGAATACGAATCAGGGCAAAGGTAGTAGAAATGCAAAGCCCCACAACATAATGGTCCCAAGCCACACTCTCCAGATACCCACTCTTGAACAAGAAAAGACCAATTTGATGAGAGATAAGCAAGGGATAAGAACTATGCTTTTAATGTGCACTCCAGTTGTGGCCTCAGCGGGTAGGCTTAGGGAAATTCCTTAGCTTGGAATGTTCACGTAAATATATAAATGAGGTCCAATAACATTTTAAGAAATAATTATTTTATAATCCGTTTGAAATACCATTTAGGGAAATAAGGTATTACTGAGAATCAAATGCAATTCACATTGAAGGAACCATTGATGAGTTCAGGCCAGTCTTACAGCCATAGTACAGTTTTCACTGATTCTGAACTAGTGACTAATTTTCTGATCTGTCCAGAAAGGAGCTTGAGCTCAATCTTTTGTTAATGTTTCAATGTACACTAATAGTCATTATCAAGAACTCTTCTTTAAAGGAATCGAAGTCATTTTTCATTGTAGTCCTATTTTAGACAAGTATGACACTTAGCTTGTAAGCAGAAAATCCCAACCTAGTGTAATTTAAGAACAATATTGATTTGTTTTCTTAAGTTTTCCTAAGAGTGAACTGTCAAAGCATTCCAACAAATTAGAGGTGAAGAAGCTAACTTATGACTGAAATAGGGATAACAGACATTGCACCAACAGTTCAGAATCAAATATAGAGCTCATCTAGCCTCTATTTCACTGCCTAGATAAGTACAGCAGAATGCA